GGCTAAAATATATAACTTTTAAAAATTACAAATTTCAGTCCCTATACTTTTCAAAGTTTATACTTTAGCCACTAAACTTTCAAAACTACATTTTAGTTATTGGTCAAATTTTTTGGGGTATTACATTATAGATAAAGAGAAAAGTGGGAGTTTTCATCAAAATCACCAAGGAAATGAGTTGTCTAATCAAGAGGCTTCATTTCAGTTTTTAACAGCAATATATTATATTTCTAATCCTTTGGAATGTTAAGATTTCATAAACTTAAAGAGATTGCTAAGATTTGAGTATTTAAGAATTTTAGGATTTAAATTTGATATTAAGATCAAATCACATTTTAGAGGTTTAAAAGACATTTTTATGCTACTTAAAGACCCCAAACAACTTACTAAAGCTTTAAAATAAGTTTAACAACCAAACCAAGTCTTTTGGGATGATTTTTTTAGTGTTTCTCGAGCTTAAAATATCTATTTTGGGGTTTGAGTATAGATACTAGGATAAACAATATCGATATTGGTTAATTTAGGGATAAAATTAGGGTTTTAAGCTAAGAGTATCGATACTGCCAGGGAGAGTATCTATACTCAGGGTGACAATATCGATACTCAGGGTGACAATATCGATACTCAGGGTGACAGTATCGATATTGAGGCCCTATTTTTTCAACAGAATGCATTTTTGGTACCAATACTCATAGGGGTATCGATATTTGACCTTAGGGTATCGATACTACAAGTAGAGTATAGATACTACTCACTTTGGAATATATGATTTGACCCTGTTAAGGCTCGTAAGAACTAGGGATGATCCGAATTAGTAAAACATAGTTTGTGGGGGATGAAAAAAGCCAAGGAGAGCCTAAATGCACTCGTAGGAGTGGGTTGCAACCGAAGTACTTTAGTACGCACAATGTGTTCAAATTTCTTAAATCGAGCACATATAAAAATGGTTGAGAATGAGGATTATTGCAGAGTAGTGTACTGACGATCAATACAATATGCAAGTCAGTTTCAAAAATAGCATAAAACATGAGCTTCGAGAATGTTAGTAAACCTATGAGGTAAGTCGTTCTTTCAATCTAAAAGGTATTGAAAGGAAATCCAATAAGAGCAATCAGGGTGTCGCTACTTAAAGTTGAACCAAGTTAGGTATTGAGCTAGTTAATATTATAGCTAGTGATTAGTAACACAGAAATCATCGTAAAACCTTGAGAACGTGTAGAGGTTTCGTTAAAAATAGAGAATTACTAAAATGACCTTAGGTATCGAACGACCCGAATAAAAGAACCTAGTATATAATAGCAGTGAAAAACCATTAAGCCTGCACATAACATTGTAAGCAAGAGAACAAGCGAGATAACATACAGAGTGAGGATGATCCCACGTCAGTGAATTTAGTTGTACTAGGGTATACCTAGGTTACCTTAGTTGCCCTAGTATGGCATTGCAAGCGCGTGAGGAACTTTAGGAGCTAGTGAGGGCGCGAGGCTCGAACACTCACGTGGAGTTAATTAGCGATGTCAGTGTCGTATAGTCTCTGAGCCTTAGGCATGCATGTATAGTTACATCTGATCCAGTTCAGAAGATAATGATCGTCTAATGGTATTGGATATCCGAGAACACCTGAAGTAAGTGTGTGAAGAACTTTTTACGGCTAACTATTTGGGCGCAAGACTTAACACACACAAGGGGCGGGTTGGCAGGTGTGATGTTTTTACCTAGATATACCACAGTGGGTGTGTGAGGCTCTTCGATGGCTAATTTGGGTGCAAGGCCTAACACTCACGAGTGGTGGGTTGGCATTGCATATAGATTGTAATAACCCAAATCTCGGGTCAACCTCATACCTATAAGTTGAGACCATTAGATTTTCTAGACCAGTTTAGACCAGTTTATAAGGGTATTGGCTTAAGTTTGGCCCAAGAGTTAAGGTTAAGTTGGACTTTAGTATGGGTTTTAAAGAAGAGAGACCAAATTAGTAATTTACCCATAACCGATTTTAAAGGATAGAAACCCCTTATATTTAAAGAATTTCACGTGAAACCTTACCCATCAAACCATTTTCCCTTTTTTCTCTTCATTTCCTTCCCATGAGAAAGCTTAAAAGATAAAGCTTTTCAAAATCCAAGCCTAGTTAATTAAACCAAGGTACTAACCATAATCCTCACCCATCAAGCTTCATTTTAAGCCCTTAATCTCAAGTTTTTATGTTGGTTTTAGAAAATGGGTTTTTAAGAAAAGTTAAGGGAATCAAAGGATTCAAGTTTATTATAGTAAATTTGAGTTGTTTGGAGTAACCTTAACCTTTTTAAAGTCTTAGATAAGTTAGTAAACCCTTTTTATTACCTTTATTTAGCTAGAAAGGTGGGAGAAAGTTTAAAGGTAAGGAGTAAAGAAAATGATAATCCTAGTTGTTTCAAGATGAGATTTAGCAGCCAAGGAAGCCAGATAACACACTCACAACTTCCTCATATTGATTGTGGGTCATTAGAAATGAGTTCTAAGTTGAGAGTAAGTTATGAAGCTTATTGATGAAATTCATGGTAGATTTTATGTTTGATGTAATTAGCATGTTCAAGAGCCTTATTTATGACCCCTATAATCATATAAGACTTAATAACTAATTGGGAAACCTCAAGTTAGGGTAATTAGGGAGTTCAGGTGGTAATTTTGTGCCCAAGCGGGGTATTTTGGGTTCGTCAGTATCGGTACTGGAAGAACAGTACTGATACTATTCTTTGAGACTAGAACCAACATGTTATAAGGGCACTATCAATACTCGGGATCCAGTATCGGTACCCAGGTGGTTAGTATCTATACTGAGGCATTTTTGAAAACATCGAACCTAAATTTAGTATACTCAGGTAAGTATCGATACCCCAACATTGTAGTATTTGTACTCTAGGTTGAGTATCGATACTACCTAAACCAAGTAGCCTATAGCAGTTGAAGGGTATCGATACCAGCATGTGGGTATCGATACCAAGGGTTTAGTATTGATATTGAAGTGTCAGTATAGATATCCACGAGTATTTTTAGATGAAGAATGGCTCGATGAGCTGAGGTTTCCCAAATGCTCTAATTTCTCTCAAATAAGACTATATTTGAGAACAATAGCAATGTTAATTCAAACGTAGAAACTAGATAAAGTATGGTGAAATAAGACTAACCTTGTTTGAATGCTCGAGAAACGATCAACACACCTGAGTTCTTTTAAAAAAACTAGCAGTGTCGAAAGTATAGATTCAATCTGGACATATCCTTAGGGAGTGTGTGGAGCACTTTAAGCTGACTAACTAAGGCGAAGGCCTAACACTCGCAATGGGTGGGTTAGTCGAGGGTGTGGTGTCTGATACAGAGATTCCAGGGGCATCATCCTCGGTAAACTAGAGGGATGTGTGAGCTCCGAGTTACAGAACTATCAGCCACACCATGATGTCTACCATAGAGTAGAGAGTGAGTATATAAGTATACTCACTAAAGTAAAGCAGTAAACTTGATGGCTTGAGCCTTTCAGTGATACACAGTTAATATGATTTAGTTGTTATTGTGGCACTGAGCTAGTTAGCTTAGCTTTTGGAATTTGTTTCCTTACGCATATTAGGTGGAGTAGTTGATGAGTCTGAGAGCGATCAAGGTCTAGACCCGAGTAGAGCTGAATACGTCTCAAGTTTTTTAAGGGCATGTATATTTATAAACCCTGTTATAAAGTTGAGTCGTATAGTGTTTAAAAGTTGGTCTGTAATATTTTGAATGTAAATATTTATTTTGGGAGCTCCCTAGTGTAAAGTTTAAATTATATTTTATTATGTATGTTTTTTTTATTAAAATGATCATTTTAAAATTTAAGAATTGAGAAAGAAGTTGGTTAGCCACTTCGGTGCCTCCGTGTAGCATCCTAACCGGTCGATTGTGTGTCATATGGGCCTAGGGTGTTACATAGATAGTACACAATCGAGTTAGAGTGGCAGTTGGTCTGAATAGAGACCTGATAGAGGCGTGCTCATGGCGAGGCCCTTGTTCGAGGACTAAGAGAAGCGTGAGACCCCTATTTTAATGGCAAACCAGTTAAGCTTTAAGTAGGTAGTACTTGATCAAGATCAGGTATGTGCCTACTGCTTAATGCCTAATCTTGAGCATGTTTATATTTATGAAACTCTAAATGTTGCTCTGGATTAGTGATTATACTGTTGGACTTTGTAAGCTCAGTCTTCGGATGTTTTCCATTAGCAGGTTAGCAGCTGGAGTAGTTCATGGAGCACCGTTGTAGTCGAACTTCTAGTATCTCCTTCATAGTATTGTCTGTAGCTTTAGTGGACATGTGTATTCATAAAACCTTACTTATGTATTAAAGTTGTAAACCTCCAAATGTATTATTTTATTTTAAATTATGTGTCATGGAACTCCGTTTTATAAAATGTTTTTATATCAGTTATGTATGCTTTTAATTATGATACCATTGATTATATGTTTAAAAGAGAATGAGTAGATTTTACAAAAAGTGTTACCTCAGTAGCCCAATGTAGTATCTTAGGTCCAATCGTGTCTAGGCTGTTACAACTAAAGGATATGAAATTTCAAAGGATTCAAAATTTAATAAACAAAAAATAACAATATAAGTATTACTTAAAGAGAAAATCTAAAAGAAATACAACGATATACATGTGTAAAATATGTATAACAATTGAGTACGTGCATGGCAACTTTTCCTTCTTTTTCTTAAATGATCTCGTTTGAGAATGATATGCGCGTTCTTGTTCACGTGTTTCACTTTATCATCGAATCCAAGAAGTACACTGGATTTTAATGAAAGTTCACTCAAGAAGAGATTATGAATACAGAATACATGCAAATTCCTTCCTTGATGGGTACAAGCTACATCATTGAACTTTGTTACAATATTTAATCATGATTCACACACACACACACATATATATATATATATATATATATATATACACCTAAGCACGATCTTTTGAGAACATTAAAACGAGATGATCAAGTTATTGATGATGATTCATGAACACATCATAAGGCAAGTTTTGTTGGTATTGACCCTGGAAGCAAGAACCCGGCAATGGCAGCTCCTGTGATTGCTGCACAGCAGGGTTTAGATCACTAGGGTTTAACGACGGGTAAACGTTCGCTTCAACCGGAAATGATCCGGCCGGAACGAAGAGAGACGAGCACTCATTGATCATGGCTTGATGAAGCCATATCTGAGTCTTGAGGAACTTCACGTAATGGATGGCTTCATCGAGCATTGAGGCGGTGTCCATCTTCGTCCCGCCGGGAACCATGCTCTGCAAGATCTTGAACCGGTCGCTTATACGGTGCCTCCTCTCTCTAGCCGCCACGCTTTGCGGATCGGTCGATAGCTTAACGGCTCCTTTGCCCTTTCTGCTTACCTTGATCATCTTCTCTTTGCTGCTGGTTGTCAAAGAATACGAAGAAGGCGACGACGCATCGATGAATGATGAGCTGAAGTTCGTGGTAGAGGGAAAGTAACCCATTAGCAAAACTATAGCTGCACCACCTGTGACTCAATCGGCCTTCAAAGATTGGGTAGGGGTCCTCCATTCTTCACACATGAGTATATAAATAGAGCGAGTAAATTAAAGGCGTAATGACAAAAAAATCTTTCACATTTAATTAAATAATTTTTTTAATTTTTATATTATTTTCAATATTTTAACCTCTAACATTTTTTAGGATACAATGATTTAAAATTAGATAAAAATTGATAATTTACTAAATGTGAATATCTTTTGGTGATATGATAATATTTGCGTACATGTGGAATACTTTATGTAAGCATTTTGAACATATAAACCTTGCTACATCAACAAAAAAATATTAACCCTTAGTTAGTTAATGATTATTTAATTAAAAACTAAAATATTTTAAAAAAACGTAAGATGATTATTTAATAAATTATTAACATTAACATTATATTTTATGTGTTGTCTTTTTTTAACTTAATTTTTTCTCTCGATATTCTTGTGTCGTTTTCTTTTTTTTTTTTAGTCGACGACGGCACTAATCTTATTAATATTAGTTACGACCAACGGTGATTATTATTTTCTTATTCTTTTTCATATTACGTTTTTTGTTTTTGTTTTCTTGAGTTTTTTCACTTTTAAATAAAAAAAAAATTTCTTTATAACACGTTTTTCTCTGCTATTGAGGAAGATTCCTTATGGTTCCTGGTAAGATTTTCTTATTAACTTATCGGTGGTTATATATTGTTAGATCCCCTATTTAGTAAATAGTTGTTTGTTGATATAATTAAAATTGTGTAACGAAACAGCCTGTCAAATTGTGGTTCGCTCACTACTCATTTATCACATCGTAAAGCGTCACGTTCGACGGAGATAATAAGTTTTATGAAGGTTACTGGATTGTTTTGATGTTTGAAAGGTTTCCTTCTCTTTGCATCTTTAAGTTTAATATTTTAGTTTTACGTATAAATATTTTTACGACTATCGGCTCTAATTTTCTCTTTAGATACATTGTAATTTTGATTCATTCATTTTATTAATAAAATTCATTTGGTATTGTTTAAAAAAAATTAACATTATTTTTTGTCATTGTATATAAATTTAAATTAAATAATGCAGGTGGCTTGATTTGAATGGAGGAAAAATACGTGGAAAATTGTCGTGATGTGGGTCAGCCGATCTATGGCGTAGGATACGGGTGTTTGTTTAAGCCATGGGGGCCTAGAGTCAGCATGGAAAGCCACCTACGCAAAAGGGATTTGCTTTGCCTTTGCCCTAGCTTCTTACCTGACCCAACTAGCTAGGACCCCCACACTAACTCACCGATTCACTTACAAATTGGCTTAATACATCTTATTCCCTGTTAACTACCTAAATTTTCATTTTGGTCCACATAGTTTTTTCTCTAAAAAATTAGCCTTATACAATCATTTTGTTTATCACTTTATATCATTGAAGTTTGCCATTAAAATAAATTATGTAAACTAATTAGAACATGTCACGTATAATAAAAAAAAATTAAAAGGTAAAAAATATTAAAATTTATAAAAAAAATACAAAACAAAAAAACAAAATTTTAGAATTTATGTTCTAATCTCTTAAGACTGCATGAAACTATTAAACTTTTGAAAAATAATCAGTTAATCTTCCAAAATTATTTTACAACCAATTGAACCTTCAGATTGTAAAATTAAATTAATTAAATTCTCTAATCTATAAATTGAATCAATTAAATCTTTTGACTGATTTTGACCATCAAGTATATCATTTTTTCCTAATATATACCGTCACATTGTACACTTTGATTCAATCACGTGGTATTTATTTTTAAAAAATATTTTTTAAAAATATATATGTATATATTAAAAATTAATAAATTTATAGAAGTGCCACTTGACAACACAATAATATAACATGTGACACCAACTAATCAATAAAAATTGTTAAATTTAAGTATCAATGTTGATCAAAAGAGCGAACTGATAAAATTTTGAAATTTAGGGCCTTAATTAGGTTAAAAAATTAAAGAGGTTAATTGATTTCTTTCAAAAGTTTGACTGCTTCTGGCCCTTTTAAACTTTTATTTTTATATAATAGTAAATATGCTTAATTAAGTTTATTTTTATAAAATCATTAAAAGTATAAATTATATAAAAAAAGAAAAATTTAAAAGAATTTCTTTCGTTAGAAAATTTATTGAATTTTTAAGAAAAAATTAAGATTTTATTCAATTTTTCAAAGAATTTTTATTTTCTTAATCTTTAATTTTTTTAAAATGATTACAACAACGAAATAAAATGATATATATATATCAATACGTTCATAAACACTAAAGTTATACAAGGACCAGACTGAAAACCTGGGAAAACACATGGAGAAAAAGATATGTTACCCCAAAAAATATTATTTGTTTTGCAAAGGGTGAGGGTCAGGTGGTGGACAAGGCAAGCGGGATCCGGGGGGACCCTTGTCTGAAATCTAAAATCGAAGTGGATGTATCATGGTCGCAGATGTGCCTAAAATCTAAATCCAATACCCCAAAGAAACTGTACGGACCATGGCTTTTTCCCAAGGTTACTCACTGTTTGCTGAAAGAAAACAACTGTTCATGGTTTTTTCTTCTTCTTTTGAGTAGAAAAGAAAAGATAGGTAGCGGCCAGTCATTTCAAGCTCAGCTCCTCTTTTCAAGGGAATTTTCGAGGAAATTTGTTTGATGCTGGAAACCAAGACCTTTCCATGGAAACCAGATGGTTCGGGGGATACAGTAGAATCCTTTTAAGGTGAAGTGTATATACAGGGACCGACATGAATCGGCTTTTCGATTTAAACTCGATCTGATTTAAATATTATATATTTTTTATTGACTCGAAATAATATGTAGAAAAAAAATTTATCAATAAAATAAAAAATTTATTAAAAAATAATACATAGAAAATTATAATTGCAATTATCTTTAAATATATAAAGTAAAATTATATTTTTTGGGTCATATAGATCATATAATTTTAGCGTAAATTTGAATCCAATCCGACTTTAACATAACTTTTATAATTTGAAACTACTCGACCTATATTTGATTTTTTTTAAGGAAACTCGATCTAGCAAATGGAATGGAATTGGAACCCGTCAAATTTGAGTTAATGTATATAGTTACTATACATCACCAAATTGAATGATACACCAAGAAGATATATCAGAGCTAATGGCCTAAAACATTCTTGAAGAAAGAGCTCGAAAAGAAAAAATATAAGAATAAAACCTACTCTTTATTTTTTATGAAAGAGCTCGAAAAGGAAAAAAAATATGAAGAAAACCTACTCTTTTATCACTTTTATATATTGAAGGGATGAGCACGAGATCTAAATGTATTCTGATTTGATTTAATTTTATTAAGTTGGGATTTCTTAAATGAAAAATTGGTTTAGGTTTGAGTTTTTCAAGTATAAGTTTAGGTGGAATTTAAGACAAAAGAATTTGATTTAACCCGACTTAAAAAAAATATGATTATACTTTATATATTTAGGGGTAATTGTAATAGTAATCATTTTCATATTATTTTTTCAATGTGAGTTTTATTTCAAAGATGGATTGAGCTTCGAGTCAAATGAAGTCGCCCTAAATTTGGGTCGAATTAAATTTTGGATGAATGATATAATTTTATCGAGTAAGGTTGACAAAAAACCTAACCTAATCCAACGTAGGGTCTTAGGCCCTTGCATCTCTTGAGAAGTCTCGACCCACTTATAACTTTAGTAGATTCATTAAATCTGTCAAAATTATATATACCATTAATTACACATTTATTAAGCATGACCCTATGCTAATAACAATCACGATGAAAGGCTTAACACCGATATTAAGAGTCATTATATAACCATAATTCAAGATTAAAAAAAGTAAACTTCTCATTTTCAAATCTTTTTGAAACATTTTAAATCTGATTAATTAGACAATACGAACCATCTATAACCCTATCATCTTTTATCGATCATCATCAATACAAAATCTATTAATTACAATTTTTCGTCTAAATCATAATGAATGAATCAATTATAATTATTATAACCTAAATATTACCATCAGCATACGTCGTTAAATCAGTGTGCACTTCGTGACTTGTCTCTAACGTCTGCATGACACCCTAAATCACCTCTGATGTTTGGTTAAACAAACGAAACCCTCACAAACATCCAGTTTCGTTCACACTTCCCCAGGTCCTACCGGCCATCACTTGCTCCGGGATGCTTACAATTACACATCAGTCATAAATGAAGAAACTGAAGCTTCAGTAAAACACAACCAAAATATAAATAAAGAAAACGATCGATAAAATATAAATAAAGAAAACGATCGATAAAGCTGGGAAAATAAGATAGGCAAAGGCAAGCAACAGCACATGTGAGTTCCCGTTTTTCGCGTTGTGGGGGGGTGGTTAGATAGATCACTAATTATTCTTACTTGTTGGATTGAAACACCCAGCTTTTTTCCATGTCCAAGCACATCAGTCACGCATTTGACTGGACTTGTTAACCAAAACCATATCAAAAGAAGATAAAACCATGAGTTGTACAGTGTGCAGGGACAGAAGCTGGTAACCTTTGGATTTGCCGTTTGATTGACAGCAGGAAAAAGGGTTACTTATCTGGAGTAGAAAAACATACGACGACGATGATGGTCTCTGATTTTACTGTCCTCCGTATGTTACCGAGATTGATACGATTTTAACTTGTTAGAGTAGCCACTGGGCTAACTGTTGCTTCAGGTTTTTTTGAGTAAAGAGGGAAACGTGTACGAAAGATGATGGAGGAGTAGGACCCGTCTGAAAACACGCATGCCCCATATATTTCCTCTTTTTGTGTGTGCTTATCGATTAAACTGTGATTTTAATCTTTTAATATGCTTGAACATTATTAATGATTATGCTGTTTCTATTTGATATAATTTATTGATGATACATGTTAATATTTGTAATCGAGGAAGTTCACACAGAGATCGAGACATTGAATAAGAATGAATATTTAATCTGAATTTAATAAATTACTCAAACTTATAGTGAAAAAAGAAAATTACTCAAATTTTAGGATCCTTGGTGAAATTTACCCGAAGTAAAACATTGTAGGTTCGACTATCAAACTCAAACCCAAAGTTCAAGAAACTCTTCGGCCGGTTCAGATGATTGAGTAGTTGATCCCGGTACACTGAGTTCCAAGCACTCATGCTGTCATGCAGCTAAAACACTATAATTGATTTGAGAGTTCCCGGTAGAATAATTGGACATCAGCTCTTGGTTTATTTGTGTATCGTCTTCTTCTTCCTGTAGTTTAGCCTCACGTTAAAGTTGTTTAACCCACCAGTTGGATAACTAAGCTTTGTACATGCATAATGATAGATCTATAAATATTTTTTAAGGTGAACACATATGTACTAATAATTAAAAAATTTCGTATAAAGTGTACATAAATAAAATTTTAAGGTAAACACTTTTAATAAAATAAACAACTAACGTAAATAAATTTGGATTCCACGTGTCCACCCTAACCTCCATATGCATCTGCCACTGTATATGCATGCAACCCTTTTAGCTTGGAGCTTCATCTTTAGCGACTATTGCATATGTATTTATTGTTATTATTACTTGGTGGATGAGCTATAAAATTTTTCCAATAGGGTAGGCGAAAAAATGGCCTTTTAGGCATTCTTCATAATTAATTTGGGATCCACGACAAATACTATAGTGTATGGTAAACTTGTCACGTTGGAATGATAAGTTTCAATAAAAATATATATTTCATTGAAACTCGTCATGCCCATGTTACGAGTTCCAAGTCACTGTAATAAATAAATAGGGGTGTACAAAAAAATTCAATATGATCCATTAATTAGTTGATCCGATCCAAAAATTTGGATATCCGATTCGTTCTTTAACTTTCGGATAATTCGGATCATATATCAGATAAAAATTAGATAATGAATCGAATATGGATCGGTAAAATTTCAGTTTCGAATTATCCAAAAATCCAAAAAAATGAGACTTTAAATGATTTATTTGGGCCCAACAATACCATCCCCTGCCACTGCACAGTTCAGCCCCAGCAGGCAAGCACCCAAAAAAAAAAAAAAACCCCCCAGCGCGCGCCCCACCCCCCTCCAGCGCCTCTGCTCCTGCTCCCGCCAGCATATGTTTTCCCCCCCAATTTTTTTAAAAACTTTTAAATTATTTAGACTCTAAATTATATTTTTCAAGCCTTAAATTTATTTAGATATATTTTTATAAATATATATTGGAGGTATAAAATATATTATATAAAGTTATAAAATATTAGATTTAAATTTATTTTTTATTAAATTAAAGTTTATATTTAGACTGAATATCTGATTATCTGATCCAAAATTTCGGATATCTGATTTTTTCAGATCAGATACGGATCATAATTTTAGTGATCCGAAATTTCAAATCGGATAATTTCCGTATCGAAAATGCACACCCTAATAACAAATGTTGTAGTTCTCAAAATGAAGTATTTGGTGTCATATTGGACTAAATAATTAACCCGCCTAACTTATATTGTCGTACCTTAATCGAATACAAAGGGGCCCAAACATTCCCTCCACCATTATCAGTAAAAATGAACCTTCTATTTGTATTTATATGCAAAAAGAACGGTACGCGGTACGAACGAAACAACTTTAATGATTAAATGAACTATTGTTATCTCTAGAGATTTTATGTTTGAGTATATTATCTATAGGGACATTTGAGCGTTCATTGTTAAATTCAAACATATACTATATTGTAATCACTCTTGAAGATCGAAAAAACTATTATAATTGTCAACTCTCAAAAAATTGATTGGAAGAGATGAGAGTTATTGGATGAGATCGAAATATTAGTACAACAAACTTTAAATAAGTTTTGTGTAAAACTAATTTTAAGAAAAAAAGAGATGAGTGAAATGTGAATATTTTGATATCAATTTTACTATAAAAACAACCGACGAGGGGGGATTGATTGCTTACGGTGGCCAAAAAATAAATGCTAAAAATAGAAATGTTTAAAACTTTAATAGCAAAATTAATATATCTCTAAAGTCTAGTGCCTGAATTGATGTCGTTTTAAGAATTAACTCTCACACCAAAACGATATTGTTTTGTCTATATCATCATATTTTTAGATTTTAATGACCTAATAACACAATTAAATTTAGAATTAGAGTTCAATACTATAATTAGAAAAATAGAAATTTAATGATATAAATGACACACACCTAAAAAGTTCATTGATATGTGATATAGTTTACCCTTTTATTTATGTTCAAATTGGGCCTTTTGTAAAGAGCAACCCAACATTGTGAATATGGATCGGGTCATACTGGACTCCAGCTAGGGCTTAATAGGTTATATAATGGTATAGATGGTAAAATCTCTTCCAGCCATTTCTTGCCGCCTTTACATATCAAGTTAGGGTTCAACGAGTAACCCAGGAAAAGGAGGCAGCAAGTTTTCTTTCATCTCACCGCCATGAGAGCCAAGGTACTTCGTGAAATGCAAACTGTTCCCTTCTTGATTCAATTTGTCTCTATTTCTTACAATAGTTCTATAATTTCTTAGTTTGTTTTGAAATCTCTTATGATCTGTAAACAGTGGAAGAAGAAGCGCATGAGAAGGCTGAAGAGGAAGCGCCGAAAGATGAGACAGAGATCCAAGTAGGCGGAACGATCGGCCTTGTTCTACGAGGTTCCTCAACTTCTTAGCTTATTTTGGCGTGCTTTTAGGGTTATGTTATCTGCCATTTTTATTTTTAGATTCAAGCTCAGTTTTTGTTTCTATCGTCTTTCAATTCGGTATTAATCATGCCGTGGTTGTTTCATTGTCGAGAACAGTGAATAGGTTTTTATCAAATTATTACTATTTACTTACTATGTTTTTGATTTGGTGATTAAAAATATTCAGTGATTAGAATTTGCTTGATGGAGCAATTTTCTTTTTGCTATTCAGTCCTGTTTGCAAGAAGAGTTGTGATAGAAGAATGTTGAATATATATATATATATATATATATATATATATATATATATATAGAGAGAGAGAGAGAGAGGGTAGAATCCAATTATATAGTGTAAAACTAATTTATTTATTTATTTTTTGTATCGTTGGAAGGATAGAACTTAAATGTTGAGATTAACAATGGGAAAGATAATACATTCATCGGAAAAAAAGGGAGTTAATCTTAGTATTTGATTTTCTTTCGTCCAACTACTCTGGAAAATTGCATTAATCCAATATAAAAAGTTAAATGTTTTGCATTGATTTAAAATCATTGAATGAGTTAGTATCGGTTGAGATGATGTAAATTTTAAAATTCTCATTTTTTAGATTGCTTGATGATTGGAAATGAAAATTTTATATTGTGTAATTGAATACTATCTTCTTGTGTTTGTGTGTATGTTTAAGATATTTTGTAGTTGAACTTATCGAGTAAGTGTTACAATGCTGCTGGAGTTGAAGATTTTACGAGTAAGATCGAATGAATGATATGCAATGTTAGGGAGTTAGTGTTTGAGTTTAAGATTAAGGTTTAAGGATTATGGATTATGATTTTGGAGTTTTTATAAATCTTATGCAGTTTTTTTATTAAAATTCGAACTAAATCTGATCAGATCCATTCTTGTACATATATAAATTTTATGCTTGATGAAGCATGGTTTTTGCAGTTGAATAATATTGTCCCTGAATTTCCATCAATCCAAGCCAATTTTATTTTTAATGGCAATCCCACAATGACAAAGTGGTTTTCAGTTGAGATCTATTACTTCTCTTATTCTTCCTTTCTTTTTTCACCGTTTTGTTCTTTATTGTGACCACTGTTGCTGAAATGAAAAGTAAATTGAGAGCTTTGATAATTGGTTTTTCACTCTTAAAGAGTCGAAGGATTTTGTTATATACCACTAATGTTTTACATTATATGTTATTGATATCACCTGAAAAATAGAGAGAGTATATGGATTGTTTTTAGCTTAAGTGGATAAGTTCAATGAGCCCGATGTTAGTGTTATTAACAATATTTATTTTATATTTTTTATAAGTTTAATATCCAAAAAAAATGTTTTAAAAATAATTTAGTGATTATTTGTATATTTTATCGTTTATTTTATTTTGATTTTCTAACATTTTTAATCAAAATAAATATTTAAAGTCTAGACACCTTGGTTTAACCATTTTTTGATATAGGAGGTGACTTGAAAATGAGTAAAAAATAAAAAAGTAGACGTATATTTTATTATAAAAGTTAAATACTTATATGAATTAAATAATTTTAGTGGTTGAGGGTTAGTTGTTATTTTTAGATGTTCTAAGTTCGAACACGGCAACAATAGGAGGGTTTGAACATCCATTGTTAAATGATTGAGACTTGAGTCTTTTAAACATATATTGCTTTATAATTACTACATACTAATCATAAAAAAGTTAAATATTTAAATAAAAAAATATAATTTAAACATTTATTTTTAAATGTTTTTTTAATGAATATGATTTTTTAATAGTTTAAGATAATTACAAAATAGTATCTGATCATAATTTTTTTAAACCGTTAACAATGTACATACAATACAAACGCCCGAATCTAGTATCTCAAGGGGCATTTAGTTCACAGAATGTAAGATTACCTTTGGAAATAATATTATTGAAATGTAAAATTACTATGAGAATGTTGTATTACCTTGTTTGGTTTGTATAGCAGGAACGAAAATTACAATGTTTAGTTGGAAGAATATAAGATTACTTGACTGTACATTTTATCAAATTATCCTTGTGGTATATGTTTTTTGTTGAATTTATATTTTGATATAACAAATATTTGTAAAATTGATTTTGGACTTGATCAAAAAATTTTTTAACTTGAAAAATATGTGTTCTTAAATTGCTTTATATATATGAAATATTTTTGAGTTAATTAAAATATGTTTAAAATTTGTTTAAAGTTTTTTAAATATGAAAACACTATTTAGTCACTATTTGACACTGTTCATGACACTGTTTATATATGGGTAGTGTTTATAGTTTGGAAACTTTGTAAGAGTTTTTGAAACTTTTATTAAGAGTTTTGAAACTTTACAAAAATTTTGAAACTTTGCACCCAAAATTTGTTTTAACGGCTCGATTTTCTTCAACGATCATATTTTTAAGTAAGAGTTTCAAAACTTTCATCAAAATATCGAGACTTTCAAGAACAACGTGTTTAAAAGTTTTGATACTTTCACAAAGTTTCGAAACCGCATGTGCATGTGGCATTTATTGTATATTTTTAAAGCTTTCCAACGATTGTAACTCATCTCCAACGGTCATAAACGGCTAACAACTCATTTCACTCAATAAAAACACTCCAAGGACACTTGAAGAATGTTACTACACCTATCCAAGCTTATAGATCAAGAGGAAAAAGTTTTTATTCCTATTTCCTTCATTTTTCTATTGTATATAAGTGTATAGAGCTTAATTGAATATATTTTGTTTTTATTCTTATGAGCTTAAATATTTGTAAACACATACCTTGTTAGGTTTCTTATTTATATTTCTTATCCTTTGTAAAAATGGAGTGATTATAGTTTAGCCTTGAAAAATTAGAGATTTTTAAAGGTCAATTCACCCCATTTTGGTGGTTTTCGATTGATCGATTGAGCCCAACAATTGGTATCAGAGCGGGTCATAATCGACGGTTTAACAACTTTGTGAAGATCCTAGAAGAGCTCTATCAAATTCTGACTCAATCGAGAAGATGGATTTTTCCTCTGACACTTACTACATCGAAGATTCTTAACCAATCAACAAGTCACCCTATTTCAATGGAGCAAATTATGCATATTAGAAAAAATATGATGATGCTCTTCATTCAAGCCACCGATCTAGATGTTTGGAACTCTATTCTAATGGGTCATTCTACTCCAACTAGAGCTATGGCGGAATGTAGTGAAATATAGAATAAAGAGTTCCGATTCAATGCTAAGGCCATGCATATTTTGTTTTATGCACTAGGCCCAGATGAATATGGAAGAGTCTTCTCTTGTTCAAATGCCGAGGAGATTTGGACAAGCTCAAAGTCACTTATGAATGAACTGATAAAGTTAGTGAAACAAAAATTGGCCTTCTTTACCATAGTTGCGAGAATTTCAAGATGAAATTGGATGAAGACTTCAAAGCTATGACGAATAGATTTTTTATGATTGTCAATGGTCTCAAGAGATATGGAGATATCATCCCTAATGAGAAGCTTGTTAGGAAGATGATATATCATTTTTCAAAATCATGGCAATCGAAGAAGACAACGATCATTGAAGCGAAGAACTTAAAGTCTCTATTTCTTGATGGACTTATTGGCTCCATTTTTACTCATGAGATGATGGAAAAGGAGAAAGAACAAGAAGAAAATAAGAAAAGAGAAAAGAAAGAAACCTTGAAATCCTCTATTCAAAATGAAAGTACCTCAAGTGAAGAAGATGATAAAGAAGAAGAGATGGCCAAACTCTTCAAAATATTCACAAAATTCATGTCTCCCAAAGGAAAATAAGTGATGCATGAATCAAGTAAGAAGAAAGGTCCCCAGCTGTACTTTGAGTACCAAAAGATGTGATATGTCAAGTATAAATAGGAATGGCAAAAAAACCCCAACTCGATGGGGAAAACCGAAAACCGAATTAAACGAGTTGGGTTCGGGGATGATAAATGGGGACGAGAAAAAACTATTTATGCTAAACGAGGACAGGGACGGTGATGGTGACGTGTTTAGTAATCCCCGTTCCGATTACCCAGCCCGATAAATATTAAAAATAATTATTATATATATATATATATAATATTATTTAATTTAATTTAATTTAAATTATATATATATATATATATATTTATATTAATTTAAATATATATATACCCGGCCCGATACCCGTTTAAATAACCGTTTATGCTAAACGGGGATACTCGTTTCCCTGCGGTTTTCCCCGATTACCTGATAGGGATTCCCTTTTGTTGAAAACATTTTTTTTGATATTTCGATATAACAAATTAAGTTAAATGAATTTTAAGATTTTACAAATGATTTTACAAATTATATTATATTCAATTAATCGAATATCAAATTATTACTCCAAGTTTTTCAAGTCAATTTTAATCCTTACTAAATGTGTAAAAATTGTGATTTGTACTTAAACTATTTTTGAAACAATTTTCACAAAGTATTTTGAACCAAAATCAAGCCTTAAATCAGTTTTTCAAAGGCATGCACCGATGCATTCTCCATGCATCGATGCATCAGGCTATTTTTCCAACATCGAATGCATTTTATGCATCGATGCATCCTTAGTGCACCGATGCACTAAGTGTCCCAACGGTCAAAATATTTGAATTTTACACGAATGCACCGATGCATCCTTGATCATGCATCGATGCATGAGACGCTCCACCTAGAAAAATTAATTGCTTTCACACTTAAACGGCTATATGATCTTCACTAATCATCCCCAACGTTCAGAAGTGATTCAAGGTGTATTTAAACAAGTTCTGAAGCCCTTGATCAACAAGAAATCATAGAGAAACAAGAGAGAAAGCATCAAACACCAAGTTTGTGCAAATCAAGCCAATTTTCCTTTCAATATTCATTTTGCTTTCAAGAACACCATTTGTGCTCATTTGTAATTATTTTGAGTGTTCTTTTCTTGTTCTAGAATTGTGCAAACATCTTACCTTGTGAGGTTTTCCTTGTAAGTTTGCAAATTTGTAATATTCTCTTTGGGAAAAGAGTGTTCTCAAGAATTGGGGTATATTCTTGAGGGTATTGTAAGGTTATCTCTTTGGCCTCTAAAGAAAGAACAAATTAGTGAATTTGTTGGAAAATCCTTAGTGTGGATAGCTAAGGTAGTGGACGTAG